CATAGAAAGGAAAAAGCTGGGTTCTCCCTTTATGAGTACCTTTCAAGAAAACAATCTTTAAATTAATTATTCCCTGTGTGAAATGCTGCTCCCCTGTATTCTTTATCTCCTTCCTCCACCAAAATCCTAGGTGACGATCTTCTGCCCTTCAATAAAACTAGTATAACTCTCTGGTATACTTTGGCCAAGATACCCACAGCACTCCTGTTTAAATTACGGTCTGGGTCACAATGTTGACATTTGACAGACAGGAAGGATCTGAGATTGGAGAATGTGATGTTGCCACAGTATACTGGAGTATTACACACACACCGTTTGCAGTTCAGGGGAACTCAGAATATATTGGGAGGACAGCCTGCATCTGCTCCAAGACCTCATTTGAAATAATTTACACGTCAATAAACCAAAAGTGCAGTGCTCTATGATTTTTAGACATCAGGGTGTAGAAGCATAGGAAGGATTCAGTGTTTTGAGAATGACAGATTGCCATTTTGTTTCAGTCAGTAGCAGCTTTCTAGAACGCAGTTACCACTTACCCTTCACTCCGCACCATACAAATTTATCAACCTCACAGTGTATTCCAGCCATCGACGGCTGTGCACTTCAAACAAACTACCACCAGTAAGTTAACATTCCTTTGCTCTCTTTAAACATAAGAAACCCAAAGATTCATTAAGATGCTCTGAGCACTTCAAACTTCATGCAGGCTGGTAACCGCCCCTTAAGCAAAATGTTCTGAATATTCTTGTTGACTATGTAGCAAAAAATGATTCACAAACCTGAGCAGAAGGTAGAGGCAAAGTTCTGGAGGGCCGAGTCCACCTCTTCCACACTGGGCAGGGCCAGGAGGCGCGGCAGGAGGCTCTCCAGGGACTGCACGAACAGCCGGGCGCTGTGCTGATCGGCTTCCTGGTTTTTCAGTAGTTTGAGAGACAGAGCTGCAGTCCGCAGGGACCTGTGGCCCAGGCAGTCCCGAGGGGTCTGCTCCCCATCAACTAGAGAACAGTTGTCCGACCCAATGTCCGACACGTCAGACCTCCCCGAGTCCTTTTCTGCTGCCATTGAGTACTGATCACAGGAATCAAACTCTGTCCTGGAGAGGTCTTGGTCGTCTACGCTGAAATTGCTCTCACTGTATCTGGATCCGTAGGACCTCATCCTGCAGTCAACGGACAGGAAGTTAGTTATATCGGGGTAGGCAACCATGTGGCTCCTTTGAACCACATCTGGCTGGTCCACGGCTTCCGGTTCTGACACTTTACTCAGAGTCTCCTTGCCCTCCTGGACGGCTGGCGACTTGAGGCCATTCTTGTGGTTTTCGGAGTGGTCCTCGGGTGTGGTCTGACCCAACTCTCCCTCCAAAGTGGTCTGACCTGTGTCCGTGGTAACGCTGATGCTGATGTCAGGGCTCCGCTCGTTCCCCGACTCCCAGGGCGTGTGTTCTGAAGACAGGACTCGCCGCTGCCAGCGGAAGTCAGCCTCATTGATCTCCATGGAGTCTCGGCTCGACTCGGTCCCGTCCTTCAGCTCCTCCAGACGCAGAAGCAGCAGCTGGACCTGACTTTCGCTCAAGCCCTTGCCCTGGCTGAGCTCTTCTAAGGCCCCAAGCAATGTGCAGACGCAGGACACGGCAGCATAGCAGGCTTCGATGCCACCCTTGATGCACGCCTCAGTCATGCCATCCATGATGCTGAAAGCGTTCAAAGGAGGAGACGGCATCAATACACGAAACATAGAAAAATGCTCCAAAATGAATAAGAATTGTTAGACTGGTGAACAGTCTAATATTCAAAACAGATACTGTAATTTACATGAAATCTGGGCGAAAAAATAAAATGAACAATAAGTGAAACAAACATGCTCAGGCTGGAAAGTGGCCCACCTTGAATCACACTCTCTCAGTTGGCTGGTTTATTTGAGTACAAATAAAGATTGTGGACGGGAATTTATAATCTTCACAAGGACAGGCACAAAATCATCTCACTTTTGTATTATGTTCAGTTTAACAAAGAGAAAACATTTATAATGGCTATAGGATAATATGGACCTTCCTCTATAAAAGAACTGTATTTCTGAAGAGATGCATGTGACTACAACTATTACAAATCAGATAATATTCCATTTCCTAGAGGGGCTATATGTAAAGGAATCATATAGCTACAGTATTGTAAATCAAAAAGTTTTTCCCTAAAATAACCCCAATGAAGAATTTTTGGACACTTCATCTGGTACACTTTTTTCTTGAAGTCAATGAAAATATGGAAAGTTATATGATTATAATAAATTGAGTTAAGACTTCTCCTATGGCCTGCAGGTACACTATTAGTCCCATTTCATATAATATAGATTCAAACAATTTCAGGGATTTGGAAACAACGTTTAGAATATTCAGAGAAGCAGTCTTCACCAATCAATACGGACCCAAAATGAGAATGTATCTTACAGTTTGAGAAGATCCAGATGAGACTTTCTTTTTGAAATTGATCTTTTTTTGGATTCAGGTTCAGTGGAGCTGGGTCCTGCCAAATCACAGAGACGCTGTGGGCTCCCAAGTAGCTTTAAGAATAAGGAAAAAAGAATAACAGAAAAGTGAATATCATAAAAAAGCAAAAGAACTGTGAGATCAAATAAACATGTACATTCTCTATTGCATGATACAGTCTAAGGAGAAACACAACTATTTGGAATTCAAATCTTAATAAATCTGACCTAGGTGTTCTTGACTTGGAATGCACATTGGGTTCCTGGCTCCCCAGTCCAGGACTGGCTTAGACAAAGAGTATCCCCTGAGGGATTGTTTCAAAATTTTTTATAGCACAGAACCAAAAAGCACCTGCGTCTATGTTCTTTAGTAAGACTGGCCTGTAATTTAACTTTCTGATCCTCTCCCTGTCTTATTTTGCTATCAAATTGGCTAGCTTCAAAAACTGGGTTGAGAAACCAGTTGCCTTTCTATTCCCTGGAAAAGAAAATGTATTATTAGAACTAAGCCATTCTTTGAATGTTGGTATAACTTGTTTCTAAAACTGTATGGGGCCACTAATTTTTTTTTCTTAATGGAAAGACTTTAACTACTGATTCAATTTCTTTAAAGATGATAGGACTACTTAGGTCCTCAATTTCTCCTTGAACCAATTTTTTAAAGGTTGTGTTATTTCCTAGGGATTTATCTATTTTATCTTTCAAATTTACTGGCCTAAAGGTGCCTATCTTCCTTAATTTCTTTAATATTTGCAACATCTATGGTTATATGCTTTTTTTTCCCCATTCTTATTTCTATTTATTTGTTTTTACCTATTCTAGAATTTTCAACTGTTTTTGCCAATTAAGGAGTTCTTCGATTTCCTTAGTCTTTTCAAAGTCCTGGTGTTTTTCACTTTATTAATTCACTATATTACATTTGCTTTTCATCACATCAGTACTTACTGTTTTTATGCTTATTTTTCCTCCTTTCTACTTTTTTGAATTTAATCTGCTCTTCTTTTCCAAACTACCTAAGTTGGAGAATTAGAACATTAACTTTAGGCTCTCTGTTTTTTGATGTAAGTCATCGAAACTATAAATATCCTTCTATGCACTGTTTTGGCTGTATCTCACAAGTCTTCATGTATAGAATTTTCATAATTTTTCAGTCAACACTAATTTTTACTTCCACATGGTAGGCGTCTGTACAGAAGACTTCAATTTGAGACTAAGAAAGATGAATTAAGTATATTGAAGCAGACATCCCACTGCTATGTCCATTATTTTCAAAGTGACTTATACTTGCAATAAAATGTATATCAAGTAGAAAAAGTTACATGTTTTTCTCTTTCCATATTTCTTTCTTCTGCCAGAAATTGGAAACTTCTGCTCTCTTGGAGGCACAAAGATGAAGCTTCCACTTTTTTCCTTTGACATCAGAAAAGGAGTGAGAATGCCAGAGGTCAAGGCAGTCTCTCTTTCTCTCCCCCTCTCTCCCTCTGCCTGCCTGCCATGCCGGCAGCCAACTGAAGTGGCTACGCCCCTGGGCCTCTAGCTGTCCCATCTCTTGTTAGAAGGACAAGTGCATTTCAGGGCCACAGGAGTGGGAAATCTCACTTTCTCTTGGGATCTCATTACATTCCCTAATCCAACTTTACCAATAATAAATTAGATGACATATTTTAATTCTCACATTGATCTTGTGTTTATTTTTCTGTTGCTTCAGAACCTGGAGCGAAAGGAGACTGAGCGGTTAGGCTTCTGGAGTACTCTCAACAAACACTTAGAGCCAGACATGTTTAACCTCATCTTCTTCCAGTGGAAATGAGGAATGTGGTGTTAGGGGGTAGGGTGTCACAGGTCTGATAAAGACTACGGCTTCCTTCTAAAGCCGAAACGTGGGAGAGAGAAAAGGAAGCAAGGTGTTTTTGTTTTTGTTTTTGTTTTAAGGTGTTCTTTTCGATGATGGAACGTTTTGCGGGGGAAAGTAGAAGCAAAAAAGAAAATGTACTTTGAAAAGCAAAATGTCCTGTATACCTTTGATTAATAGGCACAGAACACACATGGTGGAGTGACAAATTAGAGAGAGAACAGGGAAATAACACACGGGCGTTCAAACTCCAAAAGGGTAAACAAACATCCTGGGCGCCCAGTGGTTTTCTCTGTGTGCATAAGCCCTGCACATTTTGGTTTCTAGGTTACCAACCTTCCCAAGCTATTGGTATTACCACAGTAAGCGGAGGCAATGTTTCTGAGAACAACCTGGCCCACGTGAGTCTGCCATGCTCCGCGGGGCAGCACGGCCTGGATGTGATCCCCTGGTGTCAGTTCCAGCCTCGCCCTGCAAACTGACCTTGGGAAGCTAGCAAATCTATGAAAAGGGGAAACCACAACTAATTTCCTTGGCAGTACTAAAGAAGTTGTTATTGAAAGTACACTGAGAACTACACACCTTGTAGGCAAAGTACTTACTTAGCATTCAGCTAAGTAAGTGGCTCTACCGTGGGCAATAATCACTCCAGTGCCTGTCAACTCTGAGGGGGAAAGAAGGGATGCTGCTGCTTCAAAATACCCTCTTGGCAGATATTCTGTCTTCGGGTTTCTCCGTCATTCAGTTAATATGTACACTTATTCTCATTCAAGCACTGTAGTGTTAGGTACCAGGGGAACACACAAAAACAATGTATACAAAACTATATTTAGGGAGACAAGAAGCTTGTTCCACATTGTACTGTGAAGCAGTCAGTGTGATGAGACATATAATCAATTGCTAAATGGTGGGATGGGATTTACAGAAGGGTGAAATCAATGGCCTGAGGAAGCAGAGCCATAAAGAAAGAGGATTTTAACAGAGAGGCAGCTGTAATTAGAACATCTGGGTTTATGTTTTAGTCATACTGCTCACAAGGACTCTGGGCAAGTAAACCTCCCCTCATGTAGCCTCAGTTTGCCCATCTGGAAAATGGGCATAATATTATATCCCTAAAGGAGTTTGTAAATGAGCTAATATGAAGTGCCAGCAGTGTCTGCCTAGCTTATTGTGATCAACCACTTAACTGGGTGAAGTGGAAGTGTGGCCAATGGGCACAGAACAGGGGGAGCTAGAACAGAAGCCCGAAAATAGAAATTGAACAAAGCAGGGTCAGTTAGATGGAATGAGGGTCCATCCTGGGAAATGACGGGACATGAGAATGATGCCGCATCTGGAAACTGGGCAGAGTATTTCAAGCTTGATGGGAGAGGCAATAGGCACCATTAAAGAGTGGAAAATTAACAGTGGCGATTTACAAACGTAAGTCCAGGAAAATAAAAGGAAGAAAAAAGACAGGCAGGAGTCAAGGAAGCCAGGTTGAAGGGTGCATTGCTTCAGGCAGGAGGTGATGAGAACCAGCTGTTTTCAGCCTCTGTATGTTTTTCTCTTCCTCAGGGTAGCAATAAGTTTACCAGATATTTGTTTTTCACTTTAAAGACTCACAAAGTACTTATAGAAACTTTACTGTATTTTGAACTGGCAATCTCTGGAATACTGCCACTATGTACAGATAATAAAATGGCTAAGTTCAGAGTTAAATGATTTAGCTACTATAACCTAGCTGGTAAGTGGCAGAGAGAGGATTCGTACCTTGACTCAGACCCAGGTTCATTAAAGGGGTTGCTGAACCAGTGCTAGGAAAGGAGTCGCTAGAATCATCTGCATTGTAATATGAAAATCAAGTCCAGTGAGAAATGTGTGTAGGGACGACACAGATGGAGATCTGTACTCTTTTCTCTTTCTTTGACCCTGGGCAAATCATTTGACCCCTTGAAGTCTTAGTTTCTTTGTGGAAGGGAAAACTTTCTTTTTGGGGTAATGTACAAGCTGAGTATAAAATCATTTTGAAATCCAATTCTGGCAAAAGTGAATAAACATATACATCTGTGGGGGCCTCCAGAGTTTGGAGAAAAAGCTACAAAGATAAAGTACACCAGCAATGGTATACTGATGGCCTATAATCAAAGTCTACATTTTTGTCAGCACTTAAAAAATTTATAAGAATCTATACACTGATTGGTTCAAGATGGCACAGCAGAAGGACATGCTCTCACTCCCTCTTGTGACAACACTGGAATCACAACTAACTGCTGAACAATCATCAACAGGAAGACACTGGAACACACCGAAAATGATAACCCACATCCAAAGACAAAGGAGAAGCCACAGTGAGACGGCAGGAGGCGCGCAATCACAATAAAATCAAATCCCATTAATTGCTGGGTGAGTGACTCACAAACTGGAGAACAATTATACCACAGAACTCCACCCACTGGAGTGATTCTGAGCCCCACATAAGGCTACCGAAGCTGGGGGTCTGGCAATGGGAGGAGGAATTCCTAGAGAATCAGACTTCGGAGCCTAGTGAAATTTGACTGCAGGACTTCGACAGGACTGGGGGAAACAGAGACTCCACTCTTGGAGGGCACTCACAAAAGTAGGAGTGCGTATCAGGACCCAGGGGAAGGAGCAATGACCCCACAGGAGACTGAACCAGACCTACCTGCTAGTGTTGGAGGGTCTCCTGCAGAGGCAGGGGGTGGTTCTGTCCCACCGTGAGGACAAGGACACTGGCAGGAGAGGTTCTGGGAAGTACTCCTTGGTGTGAGCCCTCCCAGAATCCGCCATTAGCCCCACCAAAGGGCCCCGGTAGGCTCCAGTGCTGGGTCTTCTCAGGCCAAACAACCAACAGGGAGGGAACCCAGCCCCACCCATCAGCGGATTAAAGTTTTACTGAACTCTGCCTACCAGAGCAACAGCCAGCTGTACCCACCACCAGTACCTCCCATCAGGAAACTTGCACAAGCCTCTTAGATAGCCTCATCCACCAGAGGGCAGACAGCAGAAGCAAGAGGAACTACAATCCTGCAGCCTGTGGAACAAACACCACATTCATAAGAAGATAGACAAAATGAAAAGGCAGAGGGCTATGTACCAGATGAAGGAACAAGATAAAACCTCAGAAAAACAAGTAAATGACGTGGAGATAGGCAACCTTCCAGAAAAAGAATTCAGAATAATGATAGTGAAGATGATCCAGGATCTTGGAAAAAGAATGGAG